AGCGATCACAGGTATATTAACAGAAAGCTAGAGCTAAAATTTATAGCTAGGGCTATAATGTTTCAGTAATGACATCAATTGGGATCTAGCATTCCTATAAAGGAATAGGCATTTTGATAAGAAATGTAAACTAATTGTATTAGAGTGATCTATCCGCAAGCAAAGTGTAAGAAAAGGCCTTTTCGTGATTGCTTTTCGTTACTATTTGCTTGAAAATATCTCTTAAACTGTAGTTTTCGCTACTTCGGCAAAAATTAATGCACACATATAAATACTTTATTTACTAGTATTTCCACCACTACCTCCATTGTTGCTATAATTTATTCAATCCATAATATTATTACCTTTATTGTAACTATCAAGGAGGTTGAAGAAGTGAGTGCCCGTCTGAAGGCTGCTCGTCAACGAATCGTTGAAGTTGAAAAGTCGTCCGCAATGCTAAAGACAAAATCCGAGTGTCTAGAAAATTCTCAGATGGAACTTAATAAACAAGTAAATCAAATTATTTTTTAACGATAATCCCTTTTATATTCCTATTTGGCTGAAAATATTCTCGTTTTTTACTAATATTCAGTACCTGTCTATAATGTGCTTTTTATCCGGACACGGGGCCCCAAAGAATGATTGATAATGTGTGTCGGGATGAGGGAGAGGATAATCGAGAAATGGGTTTCAAGCCTAGAAAGGGGAGGATTCCCAGACATTGGTATGTACATATGCATAGACAAGAAAATGATATGCTCTAAATCCTCGAATATGGCGTAATCGAAGACGGGAACGGAATGCTCTTAGGCAGACAGATTTATGACAGCCAAACAGTGATTTTGATCGAAGATATGAAGACCAAGATGATGTGGCCCCCGATATAGTCGCAGTCTCTTTTCGATTTACATAAGTAGGTTAATCTCGTTTTCTTAACTTGGTCTTGTTGTCAGGGCCACTTAGTATAAATTAATTTGTCCGAAATCTTTTGCCATAATAGTTATCATAATTTCCAGCATCAGACCGTATACTTGGTACGGTCTGATTCTCATGCATGCAGATATCATCAATTGCCTTCACGAGTCGTCTCCTTGATTAAACCCGTGTAACCTGACAAACTGGGGGCGCCTATTTCTTGTAGCATGTGGCATATCAAGTGGATTTCTAGTACATATTGGTCATTACGTCGAATTTATGTGATGCTTATCCGTCTGTCTTGCTCCCTGACTGCCATACTCCCAAAGTTGTACTGGTTTATGAGATGTTTTTATACTATTTCGTTCAAGGTGATGAAGAACTGGAAGTAGAATTTTCTTACTATGATATGGGTAGAGCTGACGTTTCCATTTAATTTTATATAGCCTTGCTTTCCCAAAAGTTGGTCTCATCCAGAGTGGACTGAAGTTTCGAACTCGCATAGGCCTTATCAACACGCCTAGCAGGAGTCGAACCGTGACAGAGCAGATTGTGAGTTTGACACGTTAACCACTCGGACACATTGACGGGAAGTGCCCTTGGGTCACAGGGCAGTGTGAATCTCAAGGAAAGCCAGGCCTTTTCCCATATCACATTCTTTGGTGGGATTGCTTCGATAAGGGTACTTGTGGCAATGTGGCCGATTGGGTAACGTGTCAAGCTCACATACTGCGCTGTCACGATTCGACTCCCGCTGGGGGTGTTGATAAGACCTAGGCGAGGTCGAAACTGCAGTCCACCCTGGATAAAACTAACTTATGGAAAAACAAGGCTACGTGAAATTCAATGAAAACGTCAGCTCTAGTTATATCATTGCGGAAAAATTCTACTACCAGTCCTTTATCACCTTGAAAGAAATAGGATGAACGCATTTCAGATTATTGATTTACTGGTATTCTTAAAACTCTACATACATAAGAATAATACTACTGGTTTGTTCTAACAGAGATCGCGCACTGACAACCTCTTCGCTTGATTCCCGTAAAGCATCCCCGCCCCCCACTTTTCTCATTGCGATCCCTTTTCCTTCGGTTATCAATAGATCCTGGATCAATGAGTCTCCTTTTTACTGGTATTTCTGTATTCTTGTTTTCTCCAAGTCTGCTTGAGCAGTAGGCAAAGTCACCGCTAACTCTACCTTCCTCTAATCTCATGTTCATTAAATTTTTACCCCAAAGATGTAAATGGTCTCCCTGATCTTCAGTTTCCTTGTGTCTTCACCCTATGACGCTCTTCTTTATATTTCCTTCTAATTGATCTCATCTTCAGTTTGTGCGATATGTTTCGCTAATTCTGATCTTTCGGTATCCATTTTCCTGCAGAGTCTTTGATGTTTCTTGATTCGTATGCAAATTTGTCTCCATGCCATGCCAATATATTTCTGTTCGCAGGTGCAGCATGATATACACTAAACTTATGAGCAATCTAATTTGTCTACCCTTTCATGTTGTATCTGCACACTAGTGAAAAGTGTTGAATTTCCTTTCATGACCACCCGAATATTCAATTTCCTTAATATTGGTGGTGGTTTTTGAGTTAGTTTGCAGCACGATAGGCATTTCTATTTTTGTTAATCCTTCCCCGTCCTTACTGTTCTTTCATAGTCTCCGTTCTGTCATCGGCTTTTTTCCGTCCGTATGCTTCTTTGTATTACTTCGTCTGGGTAGCTGTTGCCGATGACTATCGTAGTCAATTTATCCAACTCCTCTTCCCAGACTCCGGATAATCATGCTCCTCATTATTCCTATCTTTAGTCTGTAATTGTGATTGGATTGGAAATTGAGTATTATTCCATCATAAGACTTCTTTCTGAACAATTTCTTTTTGAGCGTCCCATTAGAGCGAATCACTTTAACATCCGGGAAAGATAACCGTTCACCTTCCCCTACTTCCATCTTGAATTTAATTTTTTCATGAATCTGGCTTATAAACCCTAGAAAATCTCCCAGTTTTATCTTTCAATTGACCAAAGTGCGAACGAATCATTCAGGTACCGCATGAACACTGCTGGTTGTAGCAGTGACATCTTTTTTGTTCTATTTTAATTTGTCCATGTATATGTTTCCAAAAAGCGATGAGAACGGCGATCCCTTAGAAAGTCCAAATATTTTTTCACAAATTGTCCCGTTGAATGCAAAATAGGTTGTCCTTATTGTCAACTTGATAACTCGTGTTAACGATTCCCTCCTGATCCGTTGTGATTCCAGGATATCCTCCTCTCGGTCCAAAATTTCCAGCAGGGCCGTTAGAGCAGTTTTTTCAGAGATATTTTCACCCATTGATTCCACATCAAAACTTACCAATAAGTCTGTTTCTTCCAGTGCCGGGTTTTTGATTTTTTGAGAAAATTTATATGAATGTTTGACCGTGTTTGATAGCCTGTCATTTAATTTTTTGAGTTTCAAATATGAATTTTGCCAATTTGTGTGTTGCTTCGTACTTATTGTTGACTATCAGCCTTAGTGGTTCGCCTTCTTTGTGTATCTTCGGTAATCCTTAGGCTGTTGGTGGTCGTGCATCCTTTCTTATGATTGAATTTCTTATCCACTTGTCAATTTACCGTTCCTATGCGTATCTTTCAACATGTCACTTAAGATTTCATTGATCTTCATAGTTGGGCCGTTCTTTAGTATACGATATGTGGTCCTGTCTCGTAGAATATATTCAATCTTCTCGGTAAATTGTTTTTTGTTTATTATCATTGTCGTTCCCCCTTTATCTGCCTAAAGGACAAATTTTTCATTCGTTTCCAGGGTCTTTCGTATCCTGCCGAAGCTGTTCCTGTGTGTTGGCTTTTGATGTGTCAAGACCTTTGAAATTAGTTCCGTCTCCACTTCCCGTTTTGTCTCTTCAGAGAACTTTTAGGATATATTGATATCCTCCACCAGGGTGTCTCCTATAACGCTTCTGTCATTTTGAATTGAAAAGTTGATTTCTTTTTCCAGGAACGCGGTTGTTTCGGGATTGAGAGGAAATTATGCTAAGTTTAATACTTTCTTCCGATCGCTGTGCTGATCAGTAGGTGTTGTCACCTTGGAAGCCATTTCAATTGGGCGTGCTGAATTTAACTTAATCTGTCTTATAATCCCAAACTTACGCAATTCATCATCATACCGTTATGTTATTAAGTCAGAAATCCTATGTGATTTCTAGTCGGTCATGCCCTGGAGTTTTCAAAGTCTTCTGGAGTCAGGATCCTGGTCAGATCACGCCGGAGCTTTGACCTTATATCAATAGACATAAATAGCTTATTCCTCTTAGTATCATAAGTCTAACTTAGTTTCTGAATGGAACCCTGATTGTGTTACTCATTAACCTTATCCGAATGGTAGGGTATCTTAAGGTCACAAAACTTAGGAGTGATTCAATAACCTTTACAACAGTTCAAAAAAGGTCAGATGGCAAGATTGATTTACATTTGTCGTCTTTGTCCGGCTGTATTCAGTGCGTTTTCTGGCAATATTACTACCGTAGTTTAATTGAAGATATGAAGACTAAAATGGTGTTGCCCCTGATATAGTGGCAGTCTCCTTTTGACTTATACAAGTGGGTTGACCTCGTTTTCACAACTTGGTCTTGTCAGGGCTCCTTAATAGAACTCATCTTGTCCGAAGTCCTCTGCCATAGTAGTAATCGCAATTCCCAGTATCAGACTGTGGATTTGGTACATTTTCAGTGATCTTGATTTTCAGTAGTGGCCAATTTACAAATGGGTAGGAGAAAAAAGGGGGGCAGAATCTAAGTCAGGAGTCCTGCAAACGGCATCTAGTACCGGCGGTGGAGCGACACACTCTTAGGGGACATTAGGGTAAATGAGATTGCATATTTGTGTGAATAAGTGGATGGGCCATGTGAAATATGGTTGATAGAAAGAGATGGTGCACTAGAATTTAGAACGAAAAATTGGTCAAGAGTATTGCCTTCACTTGTCACTGATTGATATACTCCCACGGAATATTATTAAAAAAAGCGGAAATTTCAACCCTCTAATTTATTGGGATATATATCTTAATCTCCCCGCTTCTCATTACATTGTTTATTTTTTCCTCTTTTGTTCTTTGTTATTCACTAGCTGAATCAATGTCGTTTTGAAACAAGGCACGATCGTGCCATTCTTGCCGATCTCGAAACTGAACTTCAAGAGGCCAAAGCTCTCTTGTTAAATCGTGATCAGGATGTTGACCGTCTAACACACACGGTGGAAGAGTTGAAAAGACAGCTTGAGTTTTCAAAGGTCCATTGAATCCTATGCATTTTTTCTTGTTTGGCAATTTATTGTTTTTAGAATTGTTCGTTATTTTATTAAATTATTCTCCCGGGCCTTGGCTCTTATCTCTTGACTTAAACCTTAGTTTAAGCTCAGTTTTTATGTTGCCCATTAAGGTTAAGTATAGATCCCTTGCTTCAAAAATATACTTGTATTATAATAATTATTTCTCGAGATGGATGACTTGTTAATGAGATACTATAATTTGCTCTGTTTTTTGGCTTTTTTCGACATATTTTATTTCCCCTCATCTTAAGAATAGAGGTTCTCGACTCTCCCTTTCACTTCTCTTTGCTCAGTATTTGACTCAGAGCTTGATTTCGAAAACCCTGTGCATACGGTGAATTTAGGCTCGATAATGTAGTGCTAATTTTTGAATGTACTGAAAGGAAGCCCTGGAACATATCTTTATATTTTGTTATCGTTTTCTATCTGGGGGCTCGGGCATATCCCCTCCGACTGCCACAGGAGTACCTATATTATGAGAACAACTGAATTAAGAAATACAGAAGGGCTAAAATAATACCACCATCAAAGAGATGAGTATCATTAAGGAAATGTAAGTTTTACAAAAGATGATGTCCTATTTCCTACTAGAATTTAGGCAGTACATTATCGAACCAAGAGGATTTAAAGTTTTGTGGAGAATTTCATCCATCTCCATTTGGCAATTACTATTTGTCATTAGTCAGTAGGTTTTAAAGAATAGCACAACTCATATAACTAATAGTTAGTCTATAGCAAAATCGTTCGCCATAGAGCCCAATCACAAAGTCACCGTTACCTACATGCAGTGAGAGGCAGGAAAAAATTAATAGACTTACAATATTCGTATTAGAGTAGGGTTTCGAGACTTACAATACATTCTCCTTATACTTAAATTTACTTTCTCATATTTCAATAATGAGCTTTAAACTGCGGAAGTCTATGTACTTTTAAAAGTTTGAGCTTTTCCTTGTCCTTACGTCCGGATAAGTCGGCGTTAAATGGCTGCCGCCTGTTCGATTTATTGCTAATTAACTTATGAAAGAATTGGGAAATCTACGTATGATCAGAACCGCACTTGTTTTTAAAGAAAGGATTCTTATATACCAAAAAATGTGGACAATGCACAGTTTTCTCTGCTTATGCTCAATCTTGAAGGGATGTTCCTGTTAGGCTTAAAGTAAGATACCTTGAAGTGTTTCAGACAAATTCCAGTTTGCATATCACTTCATTAGTTAAAGATTGTGTGAAAAGGCTGCATAAAGCAGTTTTCAACTAGCAGTGCTTCAATATGGGCATATCAGTTTATTGAATGTTAGTAATTAATCGTTGTTCGGTTTTTAACATGCTCCATCTAGAGGGTTAATCCGCTCTGGCTGCAGATTAACATTTCCTTTACTTCGTGAATAATGATCAACACTGAATACATTGTCAGAACATCCACAATAGATCTATTGTGTAATCCGATTTCACATTGGTAATAGCTATTTAAATGTGATTTCGCTTTTAGGCATGCTTTGAAACTTAGAGTCTGTATAAAGTGTATAAAACCTTTCATAAATGAAAGTGAGAGTCTGAAAATACTCGTTTCTCGAGTTCAGTATTGCTCTGGTCAGTTGGAGGGTCAACAAATTTTACTATATTTAGCGTGCCTATCAATTATACTCATAATTTATGTTTATATGCCGTTTCTCTTGCTTTCGACAACCAAATCCCCATTATACCACTTTCATACATTGTTTATATCAAGGTATATCTCAGCCAGCTTGCTCGAACAGGGCAAAATGATTCATCTGTTCTCAACTCTTCTGATTCCGCTCCAGTTATTGCCTTGGCCAAGACTTGTGACAATGACGCAGAAGCCTCCGTTTCTGGTCTTTTTAGAACTGCAAATCCACCTGAGGATGCCGATATCTTGATGATGAAAGAGCGAATAGTGGAGGCGGAGGTGGCC